TCTTTTTATTCTTCTTTTTTTAATCCGAATTTTTACGAACTTCTGGGCAATGCTTGGCTACAAGACTGGTATTCCAGTCCCGCTTTCCTTTTCTTTACAGGGCCCTTCAGGCCCATACTGCCTTTTAGTGATTAAATAAAGTGAGGATAAGTCAAAATCGAGAAAAATGGAAAGGCCACTAGCTGCAGCAATTATAAGAAGAAAGGGGACCGATGGAATAGTATCTGTTCAAAAAAACATCAGATTTTATTCATCTGAAAAACAAAGTAAAAGGTGAGGGGTCAGTACCCTGTGCGAATATTTACTGAATGATTTACGAGTATTTATTTTCTGTACCATCACCTCTGCTTCTTTCCCTACCTCCATCTTCCTTCGAAAATTCACATATTTGATTGAACATGCCGGAACGGGGCACTGTACTGATGATCCACACCCATTCTGCACCGGCTCTGCCGTCTGTGTTTACAGGTTATGGGCGAAACACAGACAGGACAACAGCTAATACACTTATCTGGATATCTAAATTGGCACTTCCTGCTTTCCCACAACTGTCAATATTCGATTGTATCCCTCTCATCGGCGGGCCTATAGTGCCAAATTCAAACTATGAATGTTAACAAATAGAAGACTCCAGGCCCTCAATTCTTCCACTCCCCAAGCCAGTGATATTCATAATTCCTGAAACACTTTATATAAAAATGTCCTCTCTTTTAGACTAGATGCACTCTGTGTTTTATCCCTTAGCTGTAAATATAGACTAAACGCAAAAAGCGGATAGGAATGGGAATCACCAGTATAGCCTCTTTCTACCTGTTATGTATATGATGAGCATGTGTCAAATTGCAAAAAACTGAAATTTACTAGTGTATAAATTTCATTAAAACGGATCTCACTAAAAAAAAATCAAATTTTAAATGTGTTCTAGTAGTAAACAGCAAAAGCAATAACGGAGATTAAGTGCAGTACAAAATATTGCACAAAACTAAACAAATAAATTCAGAAAACCAGTAAAATGAGCTATTTCTGGACAAACGAAGTAACTTCAGGGATCAAAAAAATCAACAGACCCATCAGTAATGAAGGCATAGTGGACGCCTTTCTGGCCTAGATGATGAGATTGCATCCAGGCTCGAAACGAATCCAGCACATCGATGAACGGCATTGCTTTGTCGACCATCTCCTGCGTAACACCAGTGAGATTGATGCAGAATTCGCTTAGCTGCGGATGCAATGTTGGCCGCACATAGGAATGGAATATATCAACCTGAATTATGATTGCGATGATAAGCTGAACAACAGAATCGTGATAAAACGCCCAAAAGAGGTCAAAAAGTAATATGACATTTCGAATATAACATGTGAGAGGTTTCTATAAAGTTCACAAATGTCTGAGAGAGATCTTAGGGGAAAAAAAGCGTGGAGGCTTATAAAGGAATACAGCCGGTTTGTGCAAGTACCAAAATCCGTGGCTGCTCCAGGATACAATTCTGACAAAATACTCTTAGCGCATGAGCCTATCATAATTTTGGTGCATAAAGGAA